GGGTTGAGGGGTTGAGGGGTTGAGGGGTTGAGGGGTTAGGGTTCAGAGCAAGAGTGAAACCCTCAAAAGCCCTTAAAAGCCCTTAAAAGACCTTAAGAGCCCTTAAGAGCCCTCAAAAGCCCTTAAATGCCCTTAAAAGCCCTTAAAAGCCCTTTGAAGCCCTTAAAAGCCCTAAACCCTAAACCCTAAACCCTAGACCTTAACCCCTAAGCCATGGGAATGCAAGCCCTCTCAGGACGATTCCCTTCACTTCCATGGACAGCTCGAGCCTCCGCCCCAGCCTGTGGTTTGGGGCTTGGGGCTTAGGGTTTGGGGTTTAGGGTTTAGGGTCTAGGGATTAGGGCGTCGTTTCCGAGAATGGTTTTCGCATTCTGGTAGCTTAATATACGTTCCGGTGACAAGACATCCCGCCTTCCGGGCCCGGCCCCTGGGCCCCTCTGCTCTGGACGTGCCTGCTGCCGTTTGGCCCTGCTTGCAACCCCCCCACCCTGTTGCTGGGCTGGACCCCCTGCACCCCCTTCTTCTGAACCTGCAGACCCCCTGACCCCCATATTTGGAACTGGCGATCATCCGTGACGGAAGGAAGAAGTTTTTGTTGTAAGTAAGCAATTGACTCGAGTTTAGGCCTAAACCCTAAAGGTTTGGGTGGCTTTGCCGCCTCGGACGGCGTGGGGTGGGAGAAAGGTGTTCGATGGCCCTCCGCAATCGGGCCAGAGCTGCTCTTCGTGCCGCACGAAGCTTTCGGGCTTGTTCCAAAGCCTAGCCTTCACAGCATCTGCGCCCTATAATTACAGCAAACCCTAAACCCTAAACCCTAAACCCTAAACCCCTAAACCCTAAACCCTACATCCTAAACCCAAATCTAAGTAAGCAAGCATCAGTAGCAGCCCGCGCAAGCCCGCAGCCGCTTCGTGGAGGCCCTTTTAGCAAGTCTTCGTAGTATCCCTACAGAAACCCCGTTTCAACCCCCCAAAACCCTACACCCTACACCCTAAACCCTAAACCCTAAACCCTAAACCTTAAACCCGAAGGCTGGGGGATCTACTCCAGCTCGACCTTGGAAGTCATGGTGAAGGCCCGGGTCTGGAAGTTGGGGGTTTCTTGGCTTTGGGCCTGTGGGTCCCTAAACCCAAAACCCAAAACCCTAAACCCTAAACCCTAAACCCTGCAACCCTAAAACCCACATGGGGGTTTACGTTAATATAGTCCCCAAAGAGTAGGATTCCCTTAGAATGAGGACCCCAAGAGGGTACCCCCTTTGCTTAAGAACCACCCCCCAATCAGCACAAAGTGATAATCCGTATATTTCCCTTATAAGGAAGAATGTTTTTGTTTGATTCAGAGTTTTTAAGCAATTCGTAGCAACCCAAAGGGGTTGTCTGCGGGTTCTCAGCCCCAGATCAGCGACCTCCTCCCCTTCCGGATGACGGAGCGCCGCGCCTGGGTGTGGGGACACCCAGGATGCTCCCACAAGCCTGTTTGCTTGAGGTTCATGGTGGGGTTTAGGGTTGAGGGTTGAGGGTTTAGGGTTTAGGGTTTAGGGTGTACTTATACGTGTACTTATATCCATATTAGGGCACTTAATTACGGGGCTTATAGGTGGATCTATAAGTACAGTCATAAGCCCCGACGTGCTCCGCTGTTTCGGGCGGCGGGTTCAGGGCTTCGAGGCTATCGTTGTCTTCTTGCCATGGGCTTCTATGATTGAAGGACCCTCAACAACCAACAATATCCGAAACCCTGGAATCTACGGGACATGCGGAGTCTGGGGTGCCGGGTTCCTTCAAAGGAAGTTCCCTTTAGACAAGATTATTGCAGAGGAAGCTGGAGCGGGGACTTGTAGAAGGAGCGCCTCGGGGCTCAGACGATTAGGTAGGAGTCTTGTCCTTGCGTGGACGAGCTTCCGAGATTCTAAGCCAGCCCACTGCTCCCCGCGAAGCCCTAAACCCCAAACCCGCAAACCTTAACCCTACTTCCTAAACCCTAAACCCTATACCGTTACATAGTTTTATGGGAAGATGATTGCATATTAGTGGAGTGGGTGGGTGGAGGTTGGGGGGGGACTCTTAAACCTGATCCTTTTTTCTTTGGGGGGACGAGATTCCCTAAACCCGAGGCCCGAAGACCGAAACCCAGTTTGTTTCTGCACGGAAGGTCCGTGGTGATCAGCAATCACCCGATTGGCGATACTGGCTTCATTCGCTTCCGTGCCCCTGAGGGGTATGCCGGGCGCCCACTGCCTCGTCACCCTAAGCTGTAAATCCAAACCCAAACTCTGAACCATAAACCCCAAACCCTAAACCCCTGCGTAGTTAGGAGGGCCTATGAGAGTGGGCTGTGCGCGGGCGGAGTTGAAGAAGGCAGAGAGCAGATCCCTTTCACAACTCAACGAGGGTTCTCAAGACTTGAACCCTAAACCCTAAACCCTAATTAAACCCTAAACCCTAAACCCTAAACCCTAAACCCTAAACCCTAAACCCTAAACCCTAAACCCTAAACCCTTAAACCCTTAAACCTGACCGTCGCCTCAAAGGTTACTGGCGCCTTATGTTTGTTCGTGGCCCCCTTTCACCATAGTGGTATGGAGTTTGTCTGGTAATGTAATATGCAAATCCAATGATATTTTTTATATACTAAGAAAGAAGGACATGTACTAAATGCACCCTAGTAACTTACAAAAGTATTGATGTATCGCAGGCTGGGTGATGTAAATTGCAGCTCCCTTCGGTGTCATGGCTCTGAAGGTCTGGAACTTCGATGACACGGAGTTTGTCTACCAAACGCTCGCCAACACGCCGGTAGGCAAAGTGATCTCCCTTAGTTTGATGCTTGCAGTTGGCATGCTCTGTCACATGTTGACCGAAATGGTGAGTTCTCTAAATCCTTGTCCCCCTTTCGGGTACCCCAAATATTAGGGGCCGCCTTATGATAAGGTACCCAAGTAACGGCCCCCAATTTTTCGAGAACTTCCCAAATGAAGCCTAGGGCATGGAGAGTGGCCGCGCGGGCCCCACACTCCGGCTCCCGTGTGCTGCGTAGGACAAACGCGCAACGCACCCTGTCGCCTCCAGCATCTCGCGCCTCCGACGCCATGTTTCGATCGTTGCTCGCGGTGCTCGCTCTGTCGCCGGCCGTGGCCCACCCTCGGCGGCTGGGAAACTCGGTAGGATGTTGGGACATCTTCTATGTTTCCCTTAGTGGGTTTAAGAGGATTTTGTTCGGGATATTTTTTTCAGAGGGTTACTCTATACCCTAAACCCTAGACCCTAGACCCTAAACCCTAAACCCTAAACCCTAAACCCTAAGCCCTAAACCCTAAACCCTAAACCCTAAAGGTTTTTAAGGGCCATCCCAGGAAAGACGCCTTCTTTCGACTCCAGCGGCGCCAGGGAGACGCCGACCGGCTTCGGCATGGTCTCGCGCGCTGCTTGGTTTGAATAAATTGGTTAGTTTAGGGTTCAGGGTTTAGGGTTTAGGGTTTAGGGTTTAGGGTTTAGGGTTTAGGGTTTAGGGTTTAGGGTTTAGGGTTTAGGGTTTAGGGTTAGGGTTTAGGGTTTAGAAGTTTAAACATTTAGGGTTTGCGGTTTAAGGTTTAGGCTTTAGGGTTTAGGGTTTAGGGTTCAGGGTTCAGGGTTTAGGGTTTAGGGTTTAGGGTTTACATGATTCTGTGATCATATGGTTATAAACTTGTTTCTACTCGATTTTCGTATTGTGCTAGAAAAGAAGCGTCCCCGCAGCCAGCCAAATCCCTTGAGCCTTTGCTTTATTACTACATTTATTAATATGGCGATTTTTTGTAATATATTATGAGATTATCATGTTACAGTTATTGTTACCATTTTCTGTTTTACATTTTACAGAATAGAAACATTTCTTATTTGCTTAAATTCATTCACTGTTATATTGTTGTGTTTTTGTACAATGTTGTGCTTCATGTTACTACGTTTTTGTCAGTATGGTATTATGTTATTATGGTTTCATGTTATTATGCCAGAATGTTATTGTGTTACTATGCCATTCAGGCTATTTTAGCATTGCGTGTGTGCTTGTGTTACTGCATTATTGTAGGATTAGATGGGTTATATGTTTAACTTTATTGTAGTAGTATGCTCTTATGAGCATTAAATGTGTAATTAGCATATTAGTACGTTGTTGTATTCATATATTATGATATTCAATTGCTACAGAATAAATAAACAAATATATATATATATACACACGTACATTTGTTTTAAATATTCTTGTGTTTTTATACAGCTCTTTTATCATCGTAGTCATTACTATATTATTGTAGTACTACTATACTGTTTCATTATGATACCTTGCTTCATTTTTCATTGCATCATTTTAATGCTTATGTAGTATATTCTATAGTTGTATCAACACATTTTTGCAAGTAGGCCCTTGCGATGTTTTTTGATTTTCCCTACCTGGGTTTAAGAGTACCATGTTTAGGGAATTTTTCAGAGGGTTTCAAGGGCCACCCTAGCTATATGTCTAGGGTTGTTACAGTACAGTATGAGTATATGATACATATTGTTATTTACTTGCACATGTTTTATATTAGAAAACGAATATATTTCACACTATCATAGTATAGTAGTATACCTTTATCGGTTATGAATTTGTATCCTTATGTTATTACATTATTGTTTTTCATAATGATATACCATTCTACAAGTAGATTTCTAGATTGCTATATTTTTACTATTATTGGTAGTATTCTTATTCATATCATTGATTGTATAGTCCTATATCAATACACCCCGAAGTTCTATTTCGTGTTATTCCTTTGTTTTTGTTTATTGAACTTGTCTATTAGTATATCATTGTTTCAGTACATCCTTCAAACTTTTGTTTCGGTAATTTGTGTTATTGCTATATTGTCTTTATACTGTCATGTGATTATGCTGGAATATTCTGAAATTTCCACATCAATATCTTGTTGTACCGAGGTCTACATCCCCTACAACACCTCCGAGCATGCTCTGGCTTTCGGC